TTACAACAAGCATAATGACGAATTCTTCTTGAATGATTATGTCATGATTCTTCTTGATATTACTTGATTTAGAAATGTTTGTTGAATGCTTGATTCTGCAAGGTCTGGTAAAGTCAGAAATGTTTGGCAGTATTGGCCATCGTATTCCAGTTGGATTTACCACTGACTGGATGCATGTTGAATGCAAAAATGTTGAATTGATGCAACAATGCTTGTTGAATTGATTCAATGCTGCCTGTTGTTGTTTGCTGCTACATTTTGTTGCCTTGTAAATTATTGTTGGTCTGACTGTTGTAAATTCTTTTCTAAATAGTTAATCATGTTAAATTATGTTGGTGGCATTTTGGCTTTTAAAGATGAAAAGTTGACCATAATTTAATAATGTTGTCCGCATTCAGATCTTTTGAAATAAAAGCTCGATGATGAGATTTTTGGTAGGAAATTAATGCTTTTAACCTTATAAAACTTTTGTTATAAGATCTGAGAGCTTAATTTTTAATACAAATTTGTTTTTGTTCATTCAATTTATTAAAGTGTAATAAATTTTATGTTATTCAAATTTTCAATCCCAAATAAATCCATCTTTTATATAAATGTTGTCATTTTCATATAAATTATATTTACATTATTAATTAATTATTACATAAAAACATAAATTAAACTTATAAATATTTAAATTAATTATTTAATTAGTCATGTTCAATAAATAAATTATTTTAACTTTTAATGATTATATTATTTATGTTCAATAAATAATTTATTCAATAAAAAATAATTTAATGGTTATAATTACGATTTATAATATAAAAATTATAATTAATAAATTAAGTAAATTTATTAATTAAATTACCATAATTAATAATTTATTTTATTATTTAAAATTAATCACATAAATAATAATGGTTTATTATAAACTGAAAATCTCACACCTTCATGAAAATCTCATAATTTCATTAATGATAATTTATAAGTTAGGTAAATATTAAGTCATGTAAATATCATATCAGTTCAATAATAGGTCGGATCATTTACAGGTTGGGTTAGTTACAGGTCAGGTTCATAACAGGTCAGGTTCATAACAGGTCGGGTAATACCAATTATTTACAAAGTTAATCTAGGGTTCGAGTTTATTTCAGTCGGATGCAGGTCAGTTTCGGTTATCATATTATCGTTTCAATTCGGATTCAAGTCATTATCAAATGGGGTGCATGTCGGGTTCAGATACACAATTTCCAAGTCCAACTCGGGTTCAGGTAAACACCAGTTTGGACTTGAGTCAGTTTCGGATCACCATCGCTCAGGTCAGGAACAGTTTTGATTCAAGCCGCTTTCATTCAGTTTTACAAGTCGAGTCAGCTTATTACATCCCTAAATACAACATTCCTAAAGTAATGTTACATTCCAGTAATCTTATTCCCAAAAGTAATCTTACATTCCATAAACCAAACGTACCCTAGGAATGTTATATTACCATGTTTAGTTTGCTTAGCAATAATATAAGATTACAGTGTATTATTGGAGGAATATAAGATTACTTAGATGCATATTTTACCAAATTAACCTTGTGACATATATATTTTTTAACAAGTAAAATTTTAATATTAAATTATAAATATTTGAATGAAATTTATAAAAATATTTTATTTATTACACTATCTAAGTTTAGAGGAAAAATACATTTAACATATAATTAATATAATTAGTATACCAAATTTATAAGTTTCATAAGCATTATATTTATTTATATAAAATATAATATAATATGAAAAACAATATTATGATATTGAGTGAACAAATATATTAATTTTTAATGTATAAGATCTATTTTTAATAACTCAAAATTAAATATTATTTTAAATAATTACATTTTTATAATAATAATAATTATTATTATTATTATTATAATACCATTTCACCTAATAAATTACATAATAATTAATATACTAAATATTAAAAATTTAAAAAAATTAACTACTCAAATTTATTAATATTGTATTAAATTAAACTATTTGTATATTATTATTATTAAGTTTATAATTTTGAGTAAAGCAATAAGAATAAAAGTCGAGAAGGATTCATATGATAAAATTTATTATTTAAGGGGTATTTATATCCAAAGTTGTGAGAATTGTTCATTACCTAAGAATTTGAAGGTAATGACTTTCCCACCATTTTAACCTAAAAATGCTACTATTGGTAATAAGTTGTTACCTAATAATGATCTTTTCCGTGAACCAAACATGGCAATACAATTTCAAAAAAGATCATTCCCTTGGTAATGATCTTTTCCGTGAATCAAACACACCTTAAGGGTATGTTTGATATACTGTAATTGGTTTTCTGAAAAATAATTCCCGTAAAATGATTACTTGAAAGTTGTTTTACGTAAAATAAATTACAAGAAAATTATTTTACAGAAAATGAATTATCTAAAACTGTGTACATAAAATAAATTACATTTTCTGGAAAATAGTTTTTTGGTAACAATTTTACAGTGTATTGATGATATTATGTAAACCATTTTAACTAGTTGTTTGATACACTATAACTAATTTTATAGAAAATGATTTACATAAAATGAATAAAGTTAGGTTTATTTAATATTTTAAAAAAATCGATTTGATTAACGATTAAAACAAATTCAGTTAATTTGGTTAGTAATTCAATTCGATAGGTGACTAAATTAACTAATTAAACACCCTTAATTTTTGTTATTAGTATTTTATTAATATAATACTAAATTATTAAACATTACATATTATTATAATATATATGAGTACATATTAATATAATATTAAAAATACAATATTATTAAAATTATATTATAATAATATTAAATATTTTAATAATTTATAATTTATAAACTTATATCAAAATATTAAATTTATAATAAATAAAATAATATATATTTTTTGAGTGCTTATACTATGAAGTGAAAAGACAAGAAAATATTTTACGAAAAATCATATAGTAAAACATTTTACAGAAAATACAAAGAAACTAAAAAAGTGAATTATATTAGAAAAATTAATTACAACTATCAAAACACTGTAAAATATTTTTCATAAAATCAATTATAGCTATCAAACACCAAAAACATTTTTTGGAAAATATTTTCCAGCTATCAAACACAGGAAAATGAGCAAAATATTTTCAATGCTTAAACCAAAGTGAAAGTTTATAGGGCCTTTGAGATTGGAACATAGAATTCCCTATCAGTTATCGCAAGTCCCGGTTTGGGTTTTGAATGGTCAATTACTCAATTATAGTTATTGGTAGGATGAACTTGAACGAATAAGGTTATGTATGAGTTTGATTGTTTTTTTAAGTGTTAATGTTTGATTCGTGTTCGTTTAAATGTTCATGTTTGTTTGTTTGTTTTTAAGGTGTTCATGTTCGTTTAAATTTTTAGTATCTTGTTCGTATACATTTATTTATTTTTGAAGGTTTTCGTGTTTATTTATTGTTTACGAACATGTTCGTGAAGGTGTTTGTTTATATGTTCATGAACGTGTTCCTTTAGTGTTCATTTATATGTTCAAATTTTAGTTTTATCCTTTCAAGTTAAAGAAAATTTGTAAAATTACACTATTAGTATTAAACTTTTTAATATTCACAGTTTAAACTTCAATTTTTTATCATGTGTTCAATTTAGCCACTATCATCACCAAAATTTAAAATGTAAAAAAAGGAAAACTTGGTAAAATAGTTTGTTCATGAACATAAATAAACAAGTTGATAAATAAGCTCATAAACATGCTTTTTCATGAACATAAACGAACCAAACACAACTCTGTTCGTGTTCGTTCGTTTATTAAATGAACTTAAAAAATTTATTCATACTCCTTATTTAACTTAACAAACTAACATAAATGAACGTTGTAGGAATAATTCACGAAAAAATATACAATCGATATGTTCATTTACACTCCTAGTTATCGGCAACAAACATCAGTGAATATATATTAATATTATGTGAGTTCTCTTTTGATTTAATTTTAGTTTTAGTTTTCTCTTATTGTAATACCTCAAATTTTGGTTAGTGGCCAAAATGTAAGTTTTGAAAGTTTAGTGGCCAAAGTATAAATTTGGGAAAAAGTTTAGGGATCTAAGTTGTAATTTTCCCAAAATTAATTTTTATTCCGTATATATATATAGTTTACTTTTGAGAGTGGGGTTTTATTGAAATCATATTGTTAATCCAAAATTTATGTTGAAAACTAGAAAGGTTTAAAGTCTGGTAAGAAATCGGTAAACCGGATCGAATATAAATTTTGGGAAAAATTAAAGGATGATAAATTATGCTTAAAAATATTATTTTTTTCAAATGTTAAAATGATGGAAAATAATATGGAACATTGGATTTGAGAACTTATTTCCATGTTTAATTTAGACCATTGGATCAAAGTGGCAAGATTGTAATTTTTAGAAAGTTGCTTGGTAAAATTGGAAAAGGGTAAAATATTTTGTTCATCTTTGACTTTGGAAAGATGATAAGGTTATGTGTCTTGGTATTATTGTAAATATCAAGTTTCATTAATGGTTAAATGGACATTTCACATTAAATGAATTTTTAATTCATTTAAGCTTAATATAAGGTAAATTAACATGAAATTTATTATAAATTTCATGAAAAACTTAAGCATTTTCATCCCCTTGTTCGTGCACCCCAGCAAGGTAAGAGAAAAATTATTTCTCATTTTTGAGCAATTTCCTTTGGATTTTGGATCATGTCGTGAAATAGAACATTATTCTATTCGAAAAATGCTATCATTTGATACCATTATTACTTGCTAATTTGGCTTGTGTTGAAAGATCCTAAATTTTAGGGTTTATGGAATTGATGAAGGATTTTGAGGTTTTTGAATCAATTCCAAGCATGATTTATGATTAAAATCAACTATACATGCCTATATAAGTTATGGGCAATTTCAGCCTAACCCTAATCTTGGATGAAGTTTATGTTATGATGCAATTTGATTAGATCTTTGATTGTAGAGATTGTATAAGGCTGACTCAAGGTTAATTTCATGCTTGAATCGAATCAAAATCGAGTAAAATCATGAAAACCCTAGTCTTGGGTAGATAAACCATTCGGCCTTGAGGAAGATGATGGGGGGAAATTTTGAAAAAAACCATGTGGCTTAGAAATTATATTATAAAGTTCTAAAGCCTTAGAAAAATTTTTGGGCCAATTTATAATTTTGTGAAAGTTGGTGAAAGAAATCGATAATTATAAAAAAGTTTTGGGTTATTGTATAATTGTTCAATAATTGTTGTACTATACTGGAAATTTCTATTTGGGGACTGAAATTGAAGTTAGAATGTGAAATTTAGCCATCTTGGAAAGTTGACAAAGTTTGAGTGCTAAATGGTAAACATTGAGAAAGCTAGTGGATTAAATGGTAAATATGAAATTGTTGATGTATTTGGGCTGAAAGTTTAATGCTGAAAATTATTGGGTTTATTTGGCCCTTGAAGTCAAGAATTAATAATAAGAGCCCAATATGAATAAAAAAGAAAATATAAATTTTAGAATAATTCAAAAATAATAGTACTTTTGGAGTATTGTTATTAAGTATGAAATGTTAGTAAGAATATTAACATGTATTTTATATTTGTATATGCTTTGTATGGATGCTCGTGTAGATCGTGATTGAACTCGTGATACGAGCAAAGCAAAGGGCAAGGAAAAAGTTCAAGAATAATCAGATTTCGATAGCAAGGCATAATAGTGAGGCATACCAGGTGAGTGCATTTATTATAAACTTATATGATATGAGGACAACTTGCGGTGAGTAAACCTAAAATGTTTTTATAAAAGTGTGTTTTATCGTATTTTGAAATATTTTCATAAGGTTTATGAAAATGGTTTATGGTGATTTTAGGGTATGAACAACCCTAAAATAGATGGATGAACTTTTATATTATTTTAACAGCTATCGCTGCTTCATAAAAATGTTTCATCTGCAAATTTGATTTAAAAGCATATTGTACGTTCATTGAGAGTCATATGTGCAGTTTGACATACTTGGAGTATGATGGTTATCAATCGATTTTGTTGAATGCATATATTGCATTTTCGTATCAATACCTTTGTGTACTTTCGGCACTGTGTGTGCATGCATGGTATTCATAATGAGTTTGTGAATTACCATTTTGATATATTAGTATAGTGTCGATGTTACTACAGTACCTATACTTTCGTTTAGCACTTATGTGCAACTCATGTACATTGCATTCTCATTTGACATACATTGGGCTATGAATGAATACTTTTGAATATATCGATTGATAGGTATGATGGACATACTAAATATTGTTTCACAAGTTATTTGATGAAAACTTGGCTTATCTAGTTAGTTTTTATGTGTTTATGTATTTTATACGATAAATCGTATTTTGATCTTATAATGGTTTACTCATGTTTTTAAAATACCTTATTTGTTTTATTATGTCTCACTAAGTGAATACTTAGCGTGTGATGATTTTCACGCGTAGGTTTAGTGTACGAATCGGAGTGAGGAGTGCAACTGATATCATATGTCAAAGGTTGCCTCATCAGTAACATTATGACATCACTAGATGTTTATTTTAATATTACTAGTTGGTATGTACTTAGATATGTTGTGATGCTCTGATAAGATACTTGATAATTGGTTGTAGTATTATATTACGTTTGAACTTAAACTACTGTTTGATGGATTTTAAACGCAATTATATATATATATATATATATGTATTTGAAGAACGTTTTATAAACTATATATTATTAAACCGTTCATTTAAAGAAACAAAATTTTACTGGTTCTAAAGTACGAAAAATGTTTTAAAAGTCATGTGATATCTATGACTCGTGTAAGGGGATGTATACGGGAAATGGTTGATACACTTATTGTGTTACAATTTGATATTTTAATGAATATATTTTAATCTTTTAATTTTCATAATAATATCAGTACATTTAAATTTATAACATCGTCGATATTTTTATAGAAATTAGTTTTATTCGAAAAATGAAATATTTAAAATTATAATACATGTTTACAATAATAAATATAAATTAATTGTGTAATTAAGATAATTTTTTATAACCATTAATACAAAAACTAATCATTTAATATCATACAAGGATCATACAATGAAATGGTATAAAACCTAATCAAAAATTTCGAACAAAAGATAAATACGGACATATTTGATTACATCGATAAATGAACCACAAAATGAGATAAAACTACTGAAAGACCACTAACAAGACGCAAATCAGAATCGAGCAAAGTGAAAAAAATTATTCATGAACAGAAATCACGTATCTAAATCTAATTTGAGAGTCCAAAGTCAGGAAGATCAGTACAATAACAAATAAGCAACATCTTGATTAGTCGTGACGATGTCAAATCTAACTCTGAGAAAAAAAAAGATAACTAAAAATAATGATCAAATGACGATGTCATAATGTAAAGTTATTAAAAACTAATAAATAAATAAATATGTGATAAAAGAAAAAAATGAAAAAAACTATAGATATCGACAAAAATGATTAACAAAAATTTTGGAGAAATTATTTGATGGACCCGACAACCGGCTCACCACGTCATCTATGATCTCAGTGAATGAGATCCATAAATTTTAAAATAACTTCCAAGAAAATATCCACTTCTTATTTACATGTAGAACAGAGGTGATGATTCGCCTTGGAAAAAAATGAGATGGAAAAATATTATTGGTTGGGATCATAGATAACGTGATGAACCGAATACATCTAATAATTTTTAATGTTCATGATTTTCAAAAAATTTAAAATTTAATTTGTTTCCTCAACATTTTAAAAAGTCTAAATAGAATAATTAAACTCTCATATAATTTCTCATTACATCCCTGATTTTAAAAAAAATGATTTATCCTCTTAACTATGTTATTAAAACTTGTAATTAAATTATCCCAAAAAAAATTGTAATTGATTTGGAGCCCCACTATGTCATAAAAAAGTCTCCTATGATGACCGTTCTTTTTACAAACCCTAATTGGAATCCTAACCCTATAGAGAGTAGTGGAGAATGGGGAGTTCAAGGGGGAAAAAGAATATTTTTAATATATCTATTACTTATGATTTAAAAAAATATAACAGAACGAAGATGAATAGCTTGACCGATCAATCTAATATTTTTACTCTTGTTATGACAAAACTTAGACGATCTTATAGGACATAACAAAAATAATATTAGAATATGTCAAAAAAATCACAATCATAAAATAAATCAGATTGAGTTACCACAACACCTACAGGGGAGAAATTATTTCATGGTCTCGGCTCGTCACGTCATCTATGGTCCCAATGAATGAGAGTCATAAGTTTTAAAATAACTTCCAAATAACTACTCACCCTTTATTTACACGTAAGACTAAGGTGAAGATTCATCTTGAAAAAATAAGATTAAGAATTATTATTAGTTAGGATCACAGATGAGGTAGTGAGTCGTACCATCTAATAATTTTTTCCTAGAGAAACTAAGTACCTATCTAATGGTGATGGGTGGTGACAAACATACACTTGTTTTTCCAAGTGAGGCATAAATAACCAAGGTTGAGTTGTTCTTTTAGAGTTGGAATTTTGTGATAGAATTTGTTGTTGGCTTGAGGCAAAGTTATTTTGACACTACTCTGTGTTTGAAGCAACTATATTATAATGATGGTGCCACAAAAGTCCTTTATTTCTGCCTAAAAATTAGCCTGACGGACTATATAAGTCACAGGTTTGCCCCTATTTTTTTTATAAAAAATGGAGAAGTATTTAAATTTTTAAAATAAAATTTTCATTAAATTCCAATTATTTGAATATTTTAATTAAATATATTTTAAATATTTTTGGAATATCAGTTTATTTTAAATTATTTTGTTAATAGCTACCACTGTATTTAAATTTTTGATTTTACCATCACAATCATCTTCAGTTCGATTGTTCAACACATTTCTTAATTTGTGAAGCAATGATATTTATCTTGTACAAGTTTACAATCTCCAGCCTTAACTATCCCAAATCTATGACTTGTAAATAATTGATTTTGTTGATTGGAAATGAGCTGTTGTTATAATCTTTATAATTTTTTTAATTAAAATAAAAGATGTTATATTTCTAAATAAATATCGAGATTTAAAATCATACAAAATAAAATAACATAAACATTCTTGTTATTCAACCAATTAAAAAATCTTTTAATCTTTACAAATTACAAGAGGCGGTGACAGAATTAATCTTCCTTTTATTTGAATGTGCTGTCAATTAATTTATTACATTAGATAGAATTTGCGCATGATAAAGAGGAAATTCAGTCAATAATCTCATCTTCTGCTTAACTGGATCTGCATGAATCAAACTTGTCAATGAGTTGGACTGCACTTTGAAATTATTTTTCTTTCCTTATGGAATCTCGAGTCTAGAGTCTAGCCTGCTTTATTTTGTTAAAAGCTAAAATAATATAATATTTGAAAATTTTATTTTATTATTATTGTTTTTTTGTTATCCCGATTTCAGGATATATCTTTATTAATCTGAACTAACTCACATCGTACATCTAATTTTTGTGGATAAGTCTCAATGAGAATTTTCTGCATTTACAAGGACTCAAACTCGAGATCTATGTAAACGATATCAAACTGCTTATACTTAAACCACACGTTGGTTAATTTTATTTTATTATTAATTTCATGTTATAATTTATTTTTATATTTCCTATAACAATTTTAAGTTGTTCCATATTTGATTTTTAATGAAATATAGTCCAATTAAAAACTATTTATAGAATTAGCACTAATTTGATATTGTTTTTAAAATTGATCAATATTTAAACGATATGTTTGCATTATATTTTAAAATTCGATATGTTGCACTAATTTGATATGTTGATAATTTATGTTGTTATATTTCCAACTCATCACTATTCCGAAGAGATATGATTGATCAATTATCCAACTCACAAGCTTACATGCATTATACATGTATCATACTTA